CTACCCCTCCTTCCCTCCATCCCCAAATTTATATGCCCTCCCAGTCATCTTATTTTCCTTTGTCCTCTATTAATGCCCAAACTACCCTAACATATATACAGTAGGCATCACAAATATGCATTCCCATGACAGATCACACAAAATGACAGTGCTTTTATTAACCTATTTTAAATATATAATACTGAAATATGTATGTGTACCTCACCTAAGTTAGAATTTTGAGGATTGCACTTCATAAGTTTCCTAGGCACTGATAGGGTTAACTTGTGGAGGATAGAATACTCAATACAGTAGGGCCCCACTTATACAGCAGGTTAGGTTCCAGGTTACTCCCAGAAAGCTGACATCGCTGGAAAGCAGAACACCATTTTTTCCACTTATAAATGCATGTAAATGCCAGATAACAAGTTTACACTAACATGTATTAAGTTAGCAATAGAACTAGGCATTAAAAAACAACAAAAATACACACACAGTACATTCATTTACCTCAAAATATGTAGGGCAGTATTTAATATAGGGTAGTATTTACTGAAAGAAGTCAGGTGTGGTAGCCCTCCTGTCCACCCAACCCACCCTTAATATACTATGATGCTTAACCCTTTCAGGGTTTCAGCCGTACTAGTACAGCTTAGGCACCAGGGTTTTTGACGTACTAGTACGCCTAAATTCTAGCGCCCTCAAATCTAGTGAGAGAAAGCTGGTAGGCCTACATATGAAAGAATGAGTCTGTGATCAGTGTGCATAGTATAAAAAAAATCCTGCAGCACACAGTGAGTAATGAGAAAAAAAAAACTGACCGTGTTTTTGGATTAAAACAGCGACTTTGCACTGTATTTTCCTGTGGTATTTATTGTTGTATTCTAGTTTTATTGGTCTCATTCTATAGAATGGAAGACATATTACAGAAATTGAGATGATTTTGACTGATTTTACAAGGAAAAGTACCTTGAAATTGAGCTCAAAGTAGCAGAAATGTTTGATTTTTACCAAAGTTCAAAAGTAAATAAATCATGCTAGGCGTCCAATACACGTCAACTGGTGAGTCTAATATTCTTTCACAAGTGCGCCGATATTATTTATACCATTTTTTACACTAATGCAGTAGTCTGCATAACAGTAAATCTTCTATTTTTTGTGAGAATAAAAATTCAAAGTGGAAAACAAAAGAATGTAAGAGGGGCGTTGGGACATGACTAATGAACAGAGGAAATGTCATTTTAGTGCCAGGAATGTCTTTCTTGTTTATTCTGGACCCTATTTGGAAATTGGCATCTTTTGAAATTTGTGTGAAATTGGCAAAATTGCTAAATTCTGACCACTGTATTGGATAGTTGAAATCGGTAAATGGGTGGTTTCCTTCGCTTGTTCAATAGAAAAAATGAAGTTCTAGTGAAATATTCATGATTTTTGTCGACTAGTACATTGGAATTGGCCAAAAATAGGGCTCAAAGTGGGCAAAATCGCCAATGCGTAAACATCGTTGAGACCGCTAACTTCGCGAGAGCATAATTCCATAAGTTTTTCATCAAATTTCATACTTTTGGTGTCATTATGATCGGGAAAAGATTCTCTATATTTTCATAAGAAAAAATAATTTTTTTTTTTTAAATTTGGGCGGCCCCTGAGAACAAGTCTCTGAGAGGGCCTGTCGACCCTGAAAGGGTTAAAGCTCCCTAGAGTGATAAAATGCATATACAGTATGCTCATGACTTACCTTAAGGATCCCTAGCTTTATTGACAAGCTATTTACAGGTTAAGGATTCCTAACTTTATTGGCAAGCTAAGAGCTGTTACCTACATCAGCTCATTTGAAAGTATTTTTATTGTTATGAGACATACAAGTAGGGAACAGGATAAAGTTGGAGCCATCTGTGGGCCAGCATTTTCATTTGATCAACTGACTTTATCTCGTTGACATCATTATGCTGTACAAATGTGTTCCAGACTCCACTCATCCTGGGAATAAATGATCTCAGACGGAGTGATGTTCTGGAGAAGGGTACAGCCAGAGTGAAGTTGCTGCTTTCTGCCCGTCTTGTGGCATAAAAGCTTGTTTCACGCTGTCCTCGAAGTGGATCCAAGTGTGGTACTTTGACAACATTGGCCATGTACATAACAGTAAGGCCACCCACATCCCTCCTATGTTGAAGGCTCTGCTGAAATGACAGATCTATCCAGGATGGGTCCAGGCGAGAGATGAGACGCCTTGCTCTGTTCTCTACTCTGTCAAGCAGTCGCAGATGAGAAGGGGGCAGGCGAACCAAGATAGTGGAGCATACTCAAGGTGTGAGCGTACTTGTGCCTCGCACAAAATCTTGCAACCCCTGCTGTCAAGCAGATGCGAGATGCGGCGAAGTGCTCTCTCTGTCTCTGTCTCTCTCTCTGTCTCTCTCTGTCTCTCTCTGTCTCTCTCTGTCTCTCTCTGTCTCTCTCTCTGTCTCTCTCTCTGTCTCTCTCTCTCTCTCTCTCTCTCCTCTCTCTCTCTCTCTCTCTCTCTCTCTCTCTTTTTTACACAGGGTTTGACAAGGTTAGGTTAAGGATTCCTATCTTTATTGACAAGCTATTTACAGGTTAAGGATTCCTAACTTTATTGGCAAGCTAAGAGCTGTTACCTACATCAGCTCATTTGAAAGCATTTTTATTGTTATGAGACATACAAGTAGGGAACAGGATGAAGTCGGAGCCATCTGTGGGCCAGCATTTTCATTTGATCAACTGACTTCATCTCATTGACATCATTATGCTGTACGAATGTGTTCCATACTCGAGTCATCCTGGGTATATGATCTCAGATGGAGTGATCGTTCTGGAGAAGGGTACAGCCAGAGTGAAGTTGCTGCTTTCTGCCCATCTTGTGGCATAAAAGCTTGTTTCTGTCTCTGTCTCTCTCCCTCTGTCTCTCTGTCTCTGTCTCTCTCTGTCTGTCTGTCTCTCTCTGTCTGTCTGTCTGTCTCTCTCTCTCTCTCTCTCTCTCTCTCTCTCTCTCTCTCTCTCTCTCTGTCTCTGTCTCTCTCTCTCTCTGTCTGTCTCTGTCTGTCTCTCTCTCTCTCTCTCTCTCTCTGTCTCTCTCTCTCTCTCTCTCTCTCTCTCTCTCTCTCTCTCTCTGTCTCTCTGTCTGTCTGTCTCTGTGTCTCTCTCGCTCCCCCTCCTCTCTCTCGAGTTCTATGACAGGGTGACAACAGTAAGGCAAGAGAGAGAGGAGTGGGTAGATGGCATTTTCTTGGATTGTAAGAAGCATTTGACAGTTCCACACAAGATACTAGTGTAAAAACTGGAGGACCAGGCAGGGATAACAGGGAAGGCACTACATTGGATCAGGGAATACCTGTCAGGAAGACAGCAGCAAGTCATGGTGTGCGGCGAGGTGTCAGTGGGTGCCTGTGATGAGTGGGGTTCCACAGGGGTCAGTCCTAGGACTGGTGCGGTTTCCGGTATTTGTGAATGACATGACGGAAGGAATAGACTCCGAAGTGTCTCTGCAGATGATGTGAAGTTGATGAGAAGAATTCAGTCGGATGAAGATCAGGCAGATCTACAAAGGGATCTGGATAGGCTGCAGGCCTGGTCCAGCAATTGGCTATTGGAGTTCAACCCCAACAAGTACAAGAGTCATGAAGATTGGGGAAGGGCAAAGAAGACTGGAGACAGAGTACAGTCTAGTGAGCCAGAGACTACGAACCTCACTCAAGGAAAAAGATCTTAGGTGAGTATGACATAAGGCACATCTCCTGAGATGCACATCAGCCAAATAACTGCTGCAGCATATGGGCGCCTATCTAACCTAAGAACAGCATTCTGCAATCTTAATAAGGAATCGTTCAGGACCCTGTACACCGTGTACGTTTGGCCCATATTGGAGTATGCAGCACCAGTTTGGAACCCACATCTAGCCAAGCACATAAACTAGAGAAAGCGCAAAGGTTTGCAACAAGACTAGTTCCAGAGCTAAGGGGGTATGTCCTACGAGGAGAGGTTAAGGGAAATCGACCTGACAACACTGGAGGACAGGAGAGAGAGGGGGGACATGATAACGACATATAAAATACTGAGAGGAATTAACAAGGTGGACAGACAGAATGTTCCAGAGATGGGACTCAGCAACAAGGGGACACAGTTGGAAGTTGAAGACATGGATGAATCACAGGGATGTTAGGAAGTATTTCTTCAGTCACAGAGTAGTCAGGAAGTGGAATAGTTTGGGAAGCGACGTAGTGGAGGCAGGATCCATTCATAGCTTTAAGCAGAGGTATGATAAAGCTCATGGTGCAGGGAGAGTGACCCAGTAGTGGCCAGTGAAGATGTGGGGCCAGGAGCTATGACTCGACCCCTGCAACCACAACTAGGTGAGTACAACTAAGTAACACACTCACACTCACACTCACACTCTCACACTCTCTCAATCGCACTCGCACTCACTCTCTCTCACTGTCTTTCTCACAAACACACATACTCACTTAGATATGCACATTCACACACGTGGATAATGTTATGCAGTGGTACCTCGGGATACGATCAGCTCCTAACTCGAACAATTATGTAAGTGTATTTTTATAAGTGCTTTTTGTAAGTGTATTTGGGGGTTTGAAACGGATTAATGTAATTTACATTATTCCTTATGGGAACAAATTCATTCGGTATCAGCACTTGAACAGCCTTCTGGAACGAATTAATTTCGTATCCTGAGGTACCACTGTATAATCTTTTTAGTATTGTTATTAAGAAGTCTGCAGTGCAGGAAAGCTGAAGTACAGCTGGGTGAGTACACACAAACATATATATACACAATGTATATACACAATGTATATACACATGTATATATACATGTATACACATGCATTCACACACATGAGTGCACACTTAGGTATGCACATGCACACACATGAATAATGTTATATCATATTTTCAGTATTATTGTTAAGAAATCTGCAGTGAAGGAAAGCTGGTATGGTCTTAATTTTATATTCACACCAGATAACCAAGTGACATTCTCCCTGCAGCAGTCCAGTAGTCCAGTTGAAGGAAGTCAAGACCCAGGCCCTCAGATTGACCCCAACCCTCTCCCTCTACCTCCAGTGCCCCATGAGGTCATGCGGACAGCTTCTGAGCGCCACCAAAAGGGTTTAATGTGCCCATGGATATATCAAGTTTTAACACAGGTTGGTTAATGTAATTTGTACTCAAATAATTTTCATCTGTGGCTTGCCCAGTATTACTAGCATGTCCTGTCTATTTCTACATATGAACACTGGAATATTTATTACCAGTTAACATTCTCTTGGAACTTTTTTAATTTTCTAAGCTGTCATTGTGTTAAAAAATTGTTTTAAATCTTTTGAGTTTTTCTTTTAGCGTTGGACTTTGCCACTTTTATTAATATACAATCAATTATTTGCCATGTAATTTATTATTTTAATTTATTATCTCTACTGTATTTACATAAGTTCAGAATTTTTAAAAACATGATCTTTGTACAAGATAGCCTTAAGTGCTTACATTTCCTTGTATGCATGTGTGATAATTACCTGTTTGTATTTATGGGGTGGTGAACTCTAGCTCAAACTCATATTCCTCTTAATTTTTCACTGACTTGGAATAGCCCTGTCTTATCTGTCTTTGCATTGTGGTATGCAGTTCAGGGGCTTTCTGCTGTCACCCATCTTGAATATTGTTACTACATTTTCCATATTTGTCATCTGGCATTTGACCATTCATTAATGCTTTGCTAAAAATCTATTCAAGTGACTAGCATAAGTTTTCAGTTCCACTTAATAGTTGTGGTGATATTGAATTTTTCTAATGTGTTAAATCCCATTGGTAACTTTCTCACTTTCTCATTAGTCATATATGTTTGAAAGTTTCACCTGGTTTATACTCTCTTATCTGGTACTTACCCTTGCTCATTAGTAAACATCAAAATATGGAATCTTCTCTTGAGCTCATTGCATACTTCCCTGTTATTTTCTCTGATTGTAATTATACTTGTAGTTACAGGAGCACAACCAAGATTGTGGTGTCCTGTCTTCACTATTTAATCGTATAATTTATGGGAAGGGTGGTGCCTACACCCCTTCTCTCCTCTCTGAATTATACCTTTCATATCACCACACTTTCCTTCACACCTTATTTACACAATACAGCCTCTCCTCACTTAGCGATCTACTCGTTTACCAATGACTTGGACTTACGATGGGCTCTTTGACCAGTATGCATACCTAAATAATGTATATTAGAGCTGATTTCCTTTATTCTGTTTATTACAATATGCAGTACACTACTGTATAAACACTTAAAAATATATTAAAAATGTTATAAATGGTACAAAGGTGACATTAAAACAATATCTAAGATGGTTGACACAAACTCACTACCATTATAGTATGCTTCTTGCTTAGTGATGAATTCATTTACCGATGTGGTCTTAGGAACGGAACTCTGTTGGCTGTCTCCCACTGAGGCAGGGTGACCCAAAAAGAAAGAAAATCCCCAAAAAGAAAATACTTTCATCATCATTCAACACTTTTACTTCACTCATACATAATCACTGTTTTTGCAGAGGTGCCCAGAACACAAAAGTTTAGGAGCATATACATATAAAGATACACAACATATCCCTCCAAACTGCTAATATCCCAAACCCCTCCTTTAAAGTGCAGGCATTGTACTTCCCATTTCCAGTACTCAAGTCCGGTTATATAAAAATAACTGGTTTCCCTGAATGTATTATTATTATATTAACACCCTGCCTTTGTGGGAATCGGCCAGTGTGATAATAATAATAAATATATTAACACACTGGCCGATTCTCACCAAGGCAGGGTGGCCCGAAAAAGAAAAACTTTCACCATCATTCACTCCATCACTGTCTTGCCAGAAGGGTGCTTTACACTACAGTTTTTAAACTGCAACATTAACACCCTTCCTTCAGAGTGCAGGCACTGTACTTCCCATCTCCAGGACTCGAGTCCGGCCTGCTGGTTTCCCTGAATCCCTTCATAAATGTTACTTTGCTCACACTCCAACAGCACGTCAAGTATTAAAAACCATTTGTCTCCATTCACTCCTATCAAACACGCTCACGCATTCCCACTGGAAGTCCAAGCCCCTCGCACACAAAACCTCCTTTACCCCCTCCCTCCAACCTTTCCTAGGCCGACCCCTACCCCGCCTTCCTTCCACTACAGACTGATACACTCATGAAGTCATTCTGTTTCGCTCCATTCTCTCTACATGTCCGAACCACCTCAACAACCCTTCCTCAGCCCTCTGGACAACAGTTTTAGTAATCCCGCACCTCCTCCTAACTTCCAAACTATGAATTCTCTGCATTATATTCACACCACACATTGACCTCAGACATGACTATCTCCACTGCCTCCAGCCTTCTCCTCGCTGCAACATTCATCACCCATGCTTCACACCCATATAAGAGTGTTGGTAAAACTATACTCTCATACATTCCCCTCTTTGCCTCCAAGGACAAAGTTCTTTGTCTCCACAGACTCCTAAATGCACCGCTCACCCTTTTTCCCTCATCAATTCTATGATTCACCTCATCTTTCATAGACCCATCGCTGACACGTCCACTCCCAAATATCTGAATACATTCACCTCCTCCATATCTCAGTAGTAGTACCAGTTCCAGTAACCAGTTACCAGTAACCAGTGTACCAGTAGATGACTCACTACCAACCGTCTCTGCGTGAATCACTGTCTGTATTCATATTGTTGCTGACCACAGCAGTATTCAAACACCCCCCTCACATATGGGTACTGGGGTTAGTTAGTCTTAAGAGTGAGAGCAAGGAGGCAGGTCGCGGCTGTTTGGCGCTTCCCACATTATCCGTAATATAGGTACTTCCAGCCTACGTGAGTATTTCCAGTGTCCAAGAAATTTTGAAAAAAAAAAAAAAATATTTTTTCTTACAGAATTAAAGAGCATATTTTTGTGAAGGTAATAAGACAAAAAAAAAATCTGATCAGTACTTACCGAGATACAGTGCCAAGAAGTTTGTCGAAAATGATGTGGTGGCGGCAACATCGACGAATTCCACTTACGTGCATTACATTATTTTGCTGTTTTTGTTGTTTTTTCTTTTCTTTTCCAATTTTTTTCTATTCCTACTAACATTTGGGGCCTGAGAGACCAATACTGTATATAATGTATATATATAAACTCACTGTATTGAACACAATAACCGCACTAAAGTTATTATCATATTATTGTTTACCACTGTTGTTTATTACAATAAACATGCACAAATCTTGTATAATACTAATGTTCTATCATATATTTACATATTTACAATCACTGGATATGGTTTTAGAACTGCTGGAGCTTGTGGAACTCCTTGAAACAAGGCACCATGCACAGAGGCACCTTACATTCCTCACACATAAACCGAGTGTCTTTGCGTCTTTGTTGCCGTCTTTTTGTTTGTGCACAGACGATGCATCTCTTCTGAGCAAATTTCTTCTGAGTTGAAGGAAGTTGTATTATGAAATGATCACCTTCCCTCCTCAAACGCTTGGGTATATCCTGAGGAATTCGAGGACCGTGTTGTATAGCAGGTGTTGTTACCTTGCACTTCATTATGAGTTGTCTGACAACAGAGAAACAAAATTCACCGTACGGTGGTCTGTTGCCAGTCTTTATTTGGTACATATTATATGCATTGAGCATTGAAATGTCCATGAGATGGAAGAAAAGTTTCATGTACCACTTGTAACTCTTATGAACACAGTCAACAAAACCAATCTGCATGTCACACTTGTCAACTAAGCGCATGTTTTGTGTATAATCAATCACTGTCACTGGTTTTCGAATACGTTCATTAGTCACTCGATCAACTTTGGTTGTCAACAATGTGACATCTAGTTTGTCATGCCACCGTAATGCCATGATGTCATTGGCAGTAAACACCTGCACGTCATCACCACGAGCACCTGCGTTGAGCCTGGGCATATGTTTACGATTAGAACGCACTGTGCCACACACATCTGTCTTGTTCACTCGCATGAAATCACTGAGTCATGGGCTTGTGTACCAGTTATCGATATATAATATATGCCCCTTACCAAGATAAGGTGCCATCATGTTTCTCACTACGTCACCTGAGATACCCAATAACATCTTGGTATCTTTCAATGTTTTACTACCCGTGTATACAACAATATCCAACACCAGGCCACTGTCACAATCACAGAGTACAAACAGTTTTATACCAAAGCGTTTCCTCTTGCTCGGTATATACTGCTTGAATGACAGTCTACCTTTGAACAAAATCAAAGACTCGTCAATTACAAGATTCTTGAATGGATAAAAGTAGTATATGCTGAACTTTTGTTTGAGATACATGAAAACATTTCTAATCTTGTATAACCTGTCACTTCTGTCAGGCCTGGTTTTGTCAGAGAAGTGCAACATACGTAAGAGTAAGATAAACCTGTTCACTGGTATGATTTCACTGAAGACCGGGGTAGAAATTAGCCGATCTGTGGACCAGTATGCTTTTATATTATGCTTATAGACGTGAGGCATAAGCATTATTGTTGCAAAAAGCAAATACATTTCTGCAACAATCGTCTCTTTCCACCTGTGTAGTCTTGACTGTGGTGATAAGATCGTATTTGCCATGGTGTACTCAAAATACTTATTACTTTCCCTGACAATAATTTCCATCAATTGCTGGTCAAAGAATTCCAGTTCATTGGCCGTGGTTCCAAGGGGACAAGTAGGTAGAATTCCACTTTGAGAGTCATCAAAGTGGTGAGGCTTGGGAACAAAATTGGGATTTTGCTGCCAATCCCACATACGGTTTGCTGGTGGATACTTGATATCATAGGCTGGTTGTGCGGGTGGTTGTGGTTGTGGTGGGCTGGTGGCTGGCTCTCCGCTTTGTCCTTGAACTGACGAGTCAGCAGCGTGGGTCCCAGCGTGGCCTGGTGAGTCATGCATGGCGGTGCCACTACCACCGCCACTACCATCACCACTAACACCATCCACTGATGCCTGTGGTCTATCCATGCCAAGTGTAGCCACATCATCCTCACTATCACTACCTAAAACTGGTGTTGGGCCACGGGATGTACTCCGGGATGTACTCCGTCCCCTGGGCACAGCATAGGGTACACTACCCGAGCGCATGCGGCGGCGAACATACCGATGCTTCACTGGTGAATATGATTCCTCACTATCACTACTCGAATGATCGTCGAGCGCAATAAAATCACAATCCACGTCACTATCATCGTCATTACTGAAGTCAGAGGCCTGGCCACGCGAAAATATTAGTTTTCTCTTGCGATGAGGAACAACCGACCGTGAGTCACGAGTGCCCACACCAGAGGTAGAAGGTTGAGGATCGTCAGGGTTTTCTGCACTATTATCGATATCCTGGTCATTCTTTTCGGTCACTAACTGATCAAAGCTGTAGAATTCGTCTTCATTTCCACTTCCATCAGTGTCAGAACTATCAGATAGGAAGAGGAGAGTCCCAATTTTCCGGGGAGTGAGATCTGACTTGTGACGAGGCATGGTGAACAAGGGTAACTGAGCCGGCGTTCCCACAATGCTATGCGGGCGCCTAGATTTTTTGTTTATGGCGCACACCCACCACGCAGACCCGTTCTCTCACATGTAGGCTTATGAGCGTTTTTGCGCTAAATTTGACGGCGGTAGAATTTTGGCGTAGATCTACGGTTTGGACACTCAACGTAAAGCCGTTGATCTATGGGACGGGCCCTGAAAGGGTTAAACAACCATGGTGACATCACACATCCTTGTCTAAGGCCTACTTTTACTGGTAAATAATCTCCCTCTTTCCTACATACTCTAACTTGAGCCTCACTATCCTCGTAAAAACTCTTCACTGCTTTCAGTTGCCTACCTCCTACACCATACACCTGCAACATCTGCCACATTGCCCCCCTCTCCACCCTGTCATACGCATTTTCCAAATTCATAAATGCCACAAAAACCTCCTTAGCCTTATCTAAATACTGTTCACTTATATGTTTCACTGTAAACACCTGGTCCACACACCCCCTACCTTTCCTAAAGCCTCCTTGTTCATTTTTTTTATTTTTTTTTTTTATTATCACACTGGCTGATTCCCACCAAGGCTATACTATTCTCCATCTTAGTCTTAATTCTTTCAATAATAACTCTACCATACACTTTACCAGGTATACTCAACAGACTTATCCCCCTATAATTTTTGCACTCTCTTTTGTCCCCTTTGCCTTTATACAAAGGAACTATGCATGCTCTCTGCCAATCCCTAGGTACCTTACCCTCTTCCATACATTTATTAAATAATTGCACCAACCACCCCAAAACTATATCCCCACCTACTTTTAACATTTCTATCTTTATCCCATCAATCCCAGCTACCTTACCACCTTTCATTTTACCCACTGCCTCACGAACTTCCCCCACACTGACAACTGGCTCTTCTTCACTCCTACAAGATGTTATTCCTCCTTGCCCTATACACGAAATCACAGCTTCCCTATCTTCATCAACATTTAACAATTCCTCAAAATATTCCTTCCATCTTCCCAATACCTCTAACTCTCCATTTAATAACTCTCCTCTCCTATTTTTAACTGACAAATCCATTTGTTCTCTAGGCTTCCTTAACTTGTTAATCTCACTCCAAAACTTTTTCTTATTTTCAACAAAATTTGTTGATAACATCTCGCCCACTCTCTCATTTGCTCTCTTTTTACATTTCTTCACTGAATCCCTTCACTAAATATTACCCTGCTCACACTCCAACAGCTTGTCAGGTCCCAAATACCATTCGTCTCCATTCACTTCTATTTAACATGCTCATGCATGCTTGCTGGAAGTCCAAGCCCCTCACCCAAAAAACCTCCGTTACCCCCTCCCTCCAACCTTTTCGAGGACAACTCTTACCCCCGCCTTCCTTCTCGTACAGATTTATACGCTCTCCGAGTCATTCTACTTTGATCCATTCTCTCTAAATGACCAAACCACCTCAACAACCCCTCTTCAGCCCTCTGACTAATACTTTTATAAACTCCACACCTTCTCCAAATTTCCACACTCCAAATTTTCTGCATAACATTTACACCACACATTGCCCTTAGACAGGATATCTCCACCGCCTCTTCGCTGCAGCATTTACAACCCAAGCTTCACACCCATTTAACCCCTTGACTGTCGCAACCCCCAATCCTGAAGTGTTTCCTGGTGTCGCAAAATTTAAAAAAAAAAAAAAATTATTTTTCCTTATAAAATGATAGAGATTTTTTTCCCGATTGTAATGACACCAAAAACATGAAATTTGATGGAAAACTGACGGAATTACGCTCTCGCGAAGTTAGTGACCTCGGCAATATTTACAAATCGTCGATTTCGCCCACTTTGAGCCCTATTTTCGGCTAATTCCATTGTTCCAGTTGACCAAACTCGGTTATTTCTTTAGAACTCCATTTTTTATATCGATTGAGTACAAGAAACTGCCCATTTACAGATTTCAACTACCCAATAACATGGTCAGAAATTTGCAATTGGGCCAATTTCACGAATATTAAAAAATATGACATTTTCAAAATAAGGTCCAGAATGAAAAATGCAGACATTCCTGGCTCTAAAATAACATTTTTTATGTTCATCAGTCACGTCTCCAAGCCCCTCTGATATTACTCTTGCTTTCTATTTTGAATTTTTATTCGGACAAAAAATAGAAGATTTACTGTTATGCAATACTATAATAATTGTATAAATAACATCAACCCATTCATAACTGCATATTAGAATGGCTAGTTGGACATTTATTGGACAATGATATCATTTGTTTACTTTTGAACATTGGCAAAAATCAAACATTTCTCATACTTTGAGCTCCATTTCCAGGTTCTTTTTATAGTAAAATCAATCAAAATCACCTCTATTTCTATAATGTGCTTTCCATTCTGTCAAATGAGACCAAGAAAACGAGAATACAACCATAAATACTATACGAAAATAGACCACAAAGTCGGCATTTTAATTAAAAAAAATGGTCGGAGTTTTTTTTTCTCATTATGCCCTGCACGCTCCAGGATTTTTTTTATATGGTGCACACTGACCACATAGACCCATTCTCTCACATGTGGGCCTACCAACTTTCTCCTGCTTGATTTGAAGCCGCTAGAATTTATGAGTATATATACGTCAAACACGGTACCTCGTAAGACGTATATGTACGACCTCGACAGTCATACATTCCCTTCTTTGCCTCCATAGATAATTTTTTTTTGTCTCCATGTATACCTCAATGCACCACTCACCTGTTTTCCTTCATCAGTTCTGTTGTTAACCTCATCCTTCATACATCCATCCACTGACACGTCAACTCTCAAATATCTGAAAACTTTCACTTCTTCCATACTCCTCCTCTCCAATTTGATATCCAGTTTTTCTTTATCTAAATCGTGTGGTACCCTCATCACTTTACTGTTTTCTATGTTTACTTTCAAATTTCTACCTTTACACACTCACAGTATATGGGTGTCAAATACTTCACTGCCTCTAGCTGCCTCAGTGCAACATTGAAGATTATGCCTTGTACACATAGTGTTGGTACAACTGCTACTATACTAATAAACTTCTCTATGAATTATAGTGCATTGTACATTGTACTGCATGAATATTTTTATAAGCTTTAACGCTGTTTCATTATCCTGATGCTCAGGGTGAAGTGAAATTTGGTGTATGCATGGAGGATGAAAGTAGCAGAGAACTGCCACATGCTGTCCTTTTCTACCGTTCAGTTCGCCAGTACGTTTATGCCATCCTCTACAACCTCCATCACCATACCTTCATGGCTCGTAAGGCAAAGGAGGAGGGCCAGAGTAAGTACACCATTGACTACTTTTTTTTCATTATCATCCCTTCAAGGGGCAGGGAGGGGGAGTGCTTTGATAATAGTAAAGAGCTCTTGATCCTAGAAATTGGTGTAGCTCCTTCATCCTTTACTCAAACCTAATTACTCTCATTAATCAGATGCTATTTGACCCCATGTGAATTTAGTTCTTTCAAATGATTATATATAAATTAGTATTTTTTTTTTTTTTTTACCTAAGCAGCCATCTCCCACCAAGGCAGGGTAACTCAGAGGAAAAGACACATCCACCTTCATTCATTCAATTGCTGTGTTTCTAAAAATGTGCTAACCTCACAGTTAGATTACCCTCTAATTGTAACATCCCCATCCCTCCAGAGTGCAGGCGCTGCCCTTCACACCTCAAAAACTCAAGTCCACCTGATTGTTAAACTCTACTTCATTTTAATGTAAATTTTGGGCATTTTCTTTTGTAACTATGCATTTGAATTAGAATCTTGGTGCATTTCAAGTGTGGAAGGGATGTTTGTGTGTGTGGTAATCTCTTACTGCATTTCATTTAAAATGAGGAAGTAAACTAATTCATAATGAAATGAATTGGAAGAGCTTCCAACTTTATATCATTGACAATCCTTGCTAGAACACTTGAGTTTCTATCTCAATTTCACAGTAATCTTAAGGAATTTTTGGGCACATTTCATTTATTTTTGTTATTAGAGTTTTATTGCATAAATAAATTTAGGTATAGAATAAATGGAAATGAAGTGATGAATCAGATTACCATACACCATGGATGATGTTCCCTCACTATTGAGCTTTGTCAGAATAGACTTGCTCTGCATTCCATCTCTCTTTCCTAGTCATCACTATTTGCCTGCCAGCCATCTACTTATGTTGTAGCCATATTTTGTTAACTTAGAATTTGACAATCTCCTCACAAGCTCTTGCTGCTTCTCAGTGACTTGATATGTAAATCTCCTCCATATTTCCCCAAATATATACATCTTTTAGTAGGTTGGTAGATAGCATCTGCCTTGAACCTTCAAAACTAGGGATGCCAAGCCCATGATGATTCTCTTAAGATCACATGTTCTATCTAGGCTGGAATACTGCCATACACTAACTGCCCCCCTCTAAGGCAGGCAAAATTGCTGATCTGGAGAGTGTACAAAGAACTTTCATGGCACACATAAGTATGATAAGGCACCTGAATTGCCAAGAATGGTTGAAATCCCTTGATCATATACACTTGGAAATCCCATGATCATATACACTTGGAAAATTCTAGAGGGTATATTAGTACCAAACTTGCACACGAAAATCACTCCCTATAAAAGCAAAAGACTCTGCAGGAGATGCAACCTTCCCCCACTGAAAAGCAGAGGTGCCACGATTACACTGAGAGACAACACAGTAAATGTCAGGGGACCAAGAGTGTTCAACTGCCTCCCAGCATACATGAGGGGGATTACCAATAGACCCCTGGCTGTCTTCAAAAAGGCACTGGACAGGCACCTAAAGTCAGTACCTGACCAGCCAGGCTGTGGTTTGTACCTCAGTTTGCGTGCAGCCAGCAGTAACAGCCTGGTTGATCAGACCCTTATCCACCACAAGGCCTGGTCTCAGATTGAGGGGGTGTTGACCCCCAAAACCCTCTCCAGTTATACTCCACTGAGGTACTACCGTCCTGCCAAATGAGGATTAAACAGAAACCTGTAATTATTTTACACGATGGTAGGATTGCTAGTGTCTTTTTTGTCTCATAAACATGCAAGATTTCAGGTACGTCTTGATGCTTCTACTTACACTTAGGTCACTACACGTGCATGTACAAGCATATACTGTATATACTCGCCCCTCTGGGTTTTCTTCTATTTTCTTACTAGTTCTTGTTCTTGCTTATTTCCCCTTTATCTCCTTGGGGGAAGTGGAACAGAATTCTTCCTCCATAAGCAGTGTGTGTCATAAGAGGTGACAAACATGCTGGGAGCAAGGGGCTAGTAACCCCTTCTCCTGTATACATTACTGAAGTTAAAAAGAGAAACTTTTGTTTTTCTTTTTGGGCCACCCTGCTTTGGTGGGATACATTTGGTTTGTTGAAAGAAGAATACAGTGGAACCTAGACTTACGAGTGTCCCAACATACAAGTTTTTCGAGATACGAGCCGTCGCCCAGTCAATTTTTTGCTCTGAGTTAAGAGCCATCATTTGAGTTATGAGCAAGTTTCTCCCGCTTCCCTCTCAACCCACAACCCCCACACCTCTCTTGTTTATCAATGATTTCATGCTTTAATTCTATGGACATCATCCTCTTTTTCTTCTCAGCACTGTCCTTTGCACTTGTTTCTTAGGACCCATGGTTAGAAAAAAGAAATTTAGCAAAATAACTGCACAAAATGCAAGCAAACACGAGAGAAATGCTTCCACAGCGAGGTAAACAGTGCACTGAGTTGGCGGTGTTCTGAAGCTCTCGTTGTTGTTATTAGTATTATTAAGTTTGGGAGTGGACATGTCAGCGGATGGGTCTATGAAAGATGAGGTGAATCATAGAATTGATCAGGGGAAAAGGGTGAGCGGTGCACTTAGGAGTCTGTGGAGACAAAGAACTTTATCCTTGGAAGCAAAGAGGGGAATGTATGAGAGTATAGTTTTACCAACACTCCTGTATGGGTGTGAAGCATGGGTGATGAATGTTGCAGCAAGGAGAAGGCTGGAGGCAGTGGAGATGTCATGTCTGAGGGCAATGTGTGGTGTGAATATAATGCAGAGAATTCGTAGTTTGGAAGTTAGGAGGAGGTGTGGGATTGCCAAAACTGTTGTCCAGAGGGCTGAGGAAGGGTTGTTGAGGTGGTTCGGACATGTAGAGAGAAGGGAGCGAAACAGATTGACTTCAAGAGTGTATCAGTCTGTAGTGGAAGGAAGGCGGGGTAGAAGGAAGGCGGGGTAGGGGTCGGCCTAGGAAAGGTTGGAGGGAAGGGGTAAAAGAGGTTTTGTGTGCGAGGGGCTTGGACTTCCAGCGGGCATGCGTGAGCGTGTTTGATAGGAGTGAATGGAGACAAATGGTTTTTAATACTTGACGTGCTGTTGGAGTGTGAGCAAAGTAACATTTATGAAGGGATTCAGGGAAACCGGCAGGCCGGATTTGAGTCCTGGAGATGGGAAGTACAGTGCCTGCACTCTGAAGGAGGGGTGTTAATGTTGCAGTTTAAAAACTGTAGTGTAAAGCACCCTTCTGGCAAGACAGTGATGGAGTGAATGATGGTGAAAGTTTTTCTTTTTCGGACCACCCTGCCTTGGGAATCAGCCAGTGCGTTAATAATAAAAAAAATGAAGGGGTGCAGTGACTCGAGCTGGTCCTAATGCCAGTAAAAAACAAAGAAGGAAAGTAACTCCAGAGGGGGATTTGATACCTGAAGTCCTTATGAAGGGGGCTTTCCCTTCCAAACAATAAGCTCTCCTCTCTCTCCCCTCCTCGCCTTCTTCAATATGCCAACAAGAGTCTCCAGTAAAGGTATGTAATGTTCAGTTATTAAATTTGTGCTTTATACATGTATTTATTTCTCATTGCTTTTTGTATGTAAAACTATAGTTAATCTTTAAAAAATGTATTTTTTGTTTAATATTTTTGGGTGTCTGGAACGGATTAATTGTATTTACATTAATTCTTGTGGGAAATATTACTTCAGTTTTTGGCCTTTTCGGATTTAGGCCGACCTGGAAAGGATTACGGCTGAAATCCGGGGTTCCACTGTAAATGCAAAGGACGGTGCTGAGAAGAAAAAGAGGATGATGCCCATTGAATTACAGCATGTAATCATAGATAAACAAGCGAGGTGTGTAGGTGGCAGTATGAGCTAGTAGCAAGTAGCCCATATTCCACCCTCCGCCTCCACCTCCGCCAGTGTATGTACGCTTTATAAAACCACTTTATTTCTTTACATTCTCTGTTAGGTTTTTATACAATATTTCTTATATATAAATACATTGTTTCAGTGTTTTCCTTATGAAACTAGTGATCTAGTGCAGTTAACCTCGCAAACACTCAGTTTTCTCTTATAAGAGCATGGGAAGATGTAGTCAGAGCGGCAAAGGGAATGGACACCGCCGCCACCACTCACCACATTATGGCCTATTTTATTCATTCTAGAGTTTATATCATATTTTTGTTAATTTAATTGTTTATTATGTCATATTAGTTGAATTGTGTTAGATAAATAATCTGTTGAGTTGATATTAGTGTCATATTGAAGTGTTTTGTCCTCCCTCCCGAGACCAGGAATTCCACTGGAACGAATTAATGGCATTTCAATTAATTTAAATGAGGAAAACTGATATGATATACAAACCAATTGAGTTACAAGCTAGGTCACGGAGCGGATTAAACTCGTAATTTGAGGTTCCACTGTAGTATACATCTTTGTCACCTCATCCCTTGTCATTCCTCTCTAAATTTCAAAAGCCTCTCATCATCTGCTCCTCATCCCTGAGTTTACTCTTGGCGACTCCACACGATCTTCTAATTTCTTCACTCCGAATTCTCTGCTTAATATTCACAACATTGCTTTCAAATCTGAAAGAAACAGATTCCTTTCTCAGTAAGACCCGTTGCATACTCAGGAAATTAGAATAAGGCAAAAGCTCTTGCACCTCGTCTCCATGGCTTCTAGCGTCTTCTTTGCTGTAATACTTGAATCTCAGGTCCCCCAGATTGACAATTTTTTTAGGGCTTGAAATTGTAAAAAACAAAAATGTAATTGTAGTTGGATATAGTGTTATATTTAATATTGATGCTTATGGCTACAAAGGTTAAATAAATAGTATTTATCTTAAATTTTAGTTGTTGGTGTATACTGATGATTTTGAAAGGAGTGGAGAAATATGATGACCCTATGCTAAGGAGGGAGGTTGTGGGTTATTGGTTGAAATGAATAGCAAGGTTCTGCACTGATGCTAATGGTTATACTGGAGTAAAAGAATTTAGCAATGCTGCTGTGGTCTGTTTCCCTACTGTTCTGGTTTACTGGAGTCCATTCTGTCTCCAATGAAAATTATTTTTTTGTTATCACACTGGCCGATTCCCACCAAGGCCAGAAGGGTGCTTTACACTACAGTTTTTAAACTGCAACATTAACACCCCTCCTTCAGAGTGCAGGCACTGTACTTCCCATCTCCAGGACTCAAGTCCGGCCTGCCGGTTTACATAAGAACATAAGAATGTAGGAACACTGCAGAAGGCCTACTGGCCCATACGAGGCAGGTCCTTATCAAAACGACATCTACCTAAAGCTACTCAAGAAATAACTCCCGTACCCCTTGACACCAATCAAACCCAGCCCCTCCCACTCATATATTTGTCCAGTCTCTTCTTAAAGCTACCCAAGGTCCTAGCCTCTATCACCCCACTGGGAAGACTGTTCCATGCATCTACAACTCTGAACCCCTGAACCCCTTCATAAATGTTACTTTGCTCACACTCCAACAACATGTCAAGTATTAAAAACCATTTGTCTCCATTCACTCCTATCAAACACGCTCACGCATGCCCGCTGGAAGTCCAAGCCCCTCGCACACCAAACCTCCTTTACCCCCTCCCTCCAACCTTTCCTAGGCCGACCCTTACCCCGCCTTCCTTCCACTACAGACTGATACACTCTTGAAGTCAATCTGTTTCGCTCCATTCTCTCTACATGTCCGAACCACCTCAACAACCCTTCCTCAGCCCTCTGGACAACAGTTTTGGTTATCCCGCACCTCCTCCTAACTTCCTAACTACGAATTCTCTGCATTATATTCATACCACACATTGCCCTCAGACATGACGTCTCCACTGCCTCCAGCCTTCTCCTTGCTGCAACATTCATCACCCATGCTTGACACCCATATAAGAGCATTGGTAAAACTATACTCTCATACATTCCCCTCTTTGCCTCCAAGGACAAAGTTCTTTGTCTCCACATACTCCTAAGTGCACCACTCACCCTTTTCCCCTCATCAATTCTATGATTCACCTCATCTTTCATAGACCCATCCGCTGACACGTCCACTCCCAAATATCTGAATACATTCACCTCCTCCATACTCTCTTCCTCCAGTCTGATATCCAATCTTTCATCACCTAATCTTTTTGTTATCCTCATAACCTTACTCTTTCCTGTATTCACTTTTAATTTTCTTCTTTTGCATACCCTACCAAATTCATCCACCAATCTCTGCAACTTCTCTTCAGAATCTCCCAAGAGCACTGTGTCATCAGCAAAGAGCAACTGTGACAACTCCCACTTTATGTGTGATTCTTTATCTTTTAACTCCACGCCTCTTGCCAAGACCCTCGCATTTACTTCTCTTACAACCCCATCTATAAATATATTAAACAACCACGGTGACATCACACATCCTTGTCTAAGGCCTACTTTTACTGTGAAATAATTTCCCTCTTTCCTACATACTCTAACTTGAGCCTCACTATCCTCGTAAAAACTCTTCACTGCTTTCAGTAGCCTACCTCCTATACCATACACCTGCAACATCTGCCACATTGCCCCCCTATCCACCCTGTCATGTGCCTTTTCCAAATTCATAAATGCCTCAAAAACCTCCTTAGCCTTATCTAAATACTGTTCACTTATATGTTTCACTGTAAACACCTGGTCCACACACCCCCTACCTTTCCTAAAGCCTCCTTGTTCATCTGCTATCCTATTCTCCGTCTTACTCTTAATTCTTTCAATAATAACTCTACCATACACTTTACCAGGTATACTCAACAAACTTATCCCCCTATAATTTTTGCACTCTCTTTTGTCCCCTTTGCCTTTATATGAAAATGAAAATACTTCCTTAAATCTCATGCTTAGCTCTTCACATACTTCTTTGTTGTTTCTTGTGATCTCTCCTTCCTTCCTTCCTCAGCCTGATTACCTGGTCCTTGACTGTTGTTTTCCTCCTGATGTGGCTGTACAACAGCTTTGCATCAGATTTAGCTTTCGATGCTATGTCACTGTCACACTGCAGTACTTTATGTAGCTGGTGGAAAGTCATCAGCTGCTACAGACCCTGTTTCAAAGCAGTGCTTCTAGCTTTGTCAAGGTCTCCTTCAGTGAAAAATACAACTTTATCAATAATGTGAAACTGCTTACATAATTGTTGCACTGTTCACTGTTTGTATGATCTGTCTCTCTGTGTCTGGCATTGAGCTCTGCCAACATTTCCTCTTGATATTCTTTCTCATCCTCATCTAACAGTTCATTTACATCATTGTCTTGCATTTTTTCAGAGCCCCCACCTGGGAGTCTCCTTGCCAGTTGAACAATTTCATACATTGGGCTCTCAACTGAGAGAAAAGCCTGTGAAATTGTTCACCACCCTAGGCTATAATTTTTCCCAGTCTGCATTAAATGTTGATTGAGGCATTTTGTTTCATGCACTTTTTATTTGATGTAACAGATGGCATCTGCAGTGTTAAATATATGCTAAAATTCTGGTACTCCAATGTCTGAGTCAGCATCCTGTGTTGAGAGAAGTATCCACATCACTTTTCATGTGTATTAGTATGGGAATTATCAAGAGTTAAAAGAACCTTGAATGCAAGGGTCTTGCTGTGCAGGTAAAACATGCCTTCAGGAATAGAGAAATGCTTAAATTATCAAGCCTCCAGATCTGCCACACAGCAGATCTGGAAGCTTGATAAATTTGTTAGAAAATAAAAGGTCATAGGTTTTAGTTGTGATATACAGTGGAACGTCTACTTGCGAGTTTAATCCGTTCCATGACCTTGCTCGCAACTGGATTTGCTCGTTTGCAGAGTCAATTTTCCTCATTTAAATTAATTGAAATGCAATTAATCTGTTCCAGTTTAATTCTGTACTTCACTAATTTCGCTAATATCAACTCTACGGCTTATTTATCTATCACAGTTCATCTAATATGATATAACAAACAATATAAATAACATAGAAACCTGATATATACTCTAGAATGAATAAAATGTCATTACATATGTGGCAGCAGGAGTGGCTGACGAGAGTTTGTCTGGAGACAGGACAAAATACTCCTTGAATATTTCGCTGTCATCAACTCTCCGGCTTATTTATCTTTCACAGTTCATCTGATATGAAATAATAAACAATATAAATAAAATAGAAACCTGACTTCCTACAATAATCATCCACCACTCGCTATAAGCTAAGAATGAAAATATTTTAAGTAATGTGTATATTGTATAGGCATTTTTTTAGGCCTAGTTATATTGCTCACTTAATATATGATAATGTAAACATGTTATAAGGCTTTTATATTCATTTGAAAGTGAAAAAAAGGGGGCTATGATTCACTTTACAGCAGTAGCCCAGAATCTAACCTGCTGTATAAGCAGGGCCTGCCTGTAGTTGTGTTTAATTGTAATATAGAAATCCTAAACAACAGTGTACATAAAAATGTGAACACTTGTGGTGAATATTGTTTACTAACCTTTAATGTTTGATGTCTTTTTAACAGAAGGTTTGGCAACCGAGGTACCTGAAGTTAAGATCCGTGAATGGGTGTACACCAAAAATAATCCCTACCGCACTGCGGATGTAGTAGATGCTACTCCCATCAATTGGGCAGTGCCTACCGTCCAGAGGTTGTGGTTCGGGTAAGATTTTTCACTGTTATTTAATTGACTTTGTATACTCTTATCCTTAAAAGGGTATTGTATTGTATTGTATGAATTCTGTGGCCTTTCTCATTAATGACTGATCTCCACACTGAAACAGTTGAGGTATACTACTTAGCCCTGGCTTACTACTTGCAAGATTGCTGGCAATGCTGTTAGATCAAATTCGTTACCAACAAACTGTTTTTAATCAAACCGCATTAGGGCTTCTGAATATCTTCACTCAACCATGTCAGGTATTGGAAACAGTACTATTGTGAGTATGCATTAGCCACACCATGTGCACTCATGGCCTTGTGACAACTCCCAGGTCATTCTGACATCTTTAGATAGAAAAACCCATATGGAGAGAGAGTAAGTAAAACAGTGAAATTGTTGGTCATGTAGAAACAGTGTAGCAGGTTGGTTTGGTACAGGATGTGTGTCAATCTGGAGAGACTGGAAGGTGATTTTGGAGGCATGAAAAGATAACCTGGATGAAGTGGGAGTAAAGTACAAATGCTTCTTGCTTTATGATGGTTTGACTGAGCCCTTTCACTGTCAAGATCCCTGCTCGCAAACTTGCTCTCAGTGTCAAAGACTTTAAAAAAAAAAAAAGTATATATTTTATGAAATGATAGAGAATCATTTCCTGATGGTAATGAAGCTAGAAGTATGAAATTTGATGGAAAACTACGGAATTATGCTCTCACAAAGTTAGCAGTCTCAACGATATTTATGCACCGGTGATTTTGCCCACTTTGAGCCCTATTTTGGGCCAATTCCATTGATCCAGTTGATTATAATCATAGCTATTTTGCTAGAACTTCTCTTGTTCTATCAATTCAGTACAAGAAACTGCCCATTTACCTATTTCAACTACCCAATAAACTGATCAGAAATTGGTAATTTGGCTAGTTTCATACAAAATTCAAGAAAGGCCAATTTCAAAATAAAGTCCAGAATTAACAATGCAAACTTTCCTAGCACTAAAATAACATTTTTTTTCTGGTCATTAGCCATGTCTCCAGGCCTCTTATATTACGCTTGCTTTCCATTTTGAATTTTTATTCACTCAAAAAATAAAAAGATATACTGTTATGCAGACTATTGCATTATTGTAAAAATGGTACAAATAATATCAGCACATTGGTTAAAGCACATTAGACCCACCAGTTGATGTGTATTGGACGCGTGACATGATTTGTTTACTCATGAACATTGCCAAAAATCATGTATTTTTGTTACTTTGAGCTCAATTTCAAGGTACTTTTAGTTTGTAGACCATTAAAAATCACCTCGATTTCTGTAATATATCTTCGTCTATCAGTTGAGACTGAAAACAAGAATACAACCTTAAATACATGCAAAAATAAACTGCAAAGCTTCTGTTGTAAACCAAAAACACAACAAAAGTTTTTCTTCTCATGCACTGCGTGCTGCAGGATTTTTTTTTATACTGCTCACACTGTCCACTCAGACCTATTCTCTCATGTGTAGGCCTACCAGCTATCTCCTGCAAGATTGGAAGCTGCTAGAATTTTGGTGTAGTATTACGGGACTGACACTGGCTTCAAAGCCGTGATATGACTTTATGATGGTGCAATAGCAATGCTGTACATTTATTGTACATTATTGTATTCTGAGCACCTCTGCAAAAACAGTGATGATGTGCGAGTGTGGTGAAAGTGTTGAATGATGATGAAAGTATTTTCTTTTTGGGGATTTTCTTTCTTTTTTGGGTCACCCTGCCTCGGTGGGAGGCGGCCGACTTGTTGAAAAAAAAAAAAAAAAAAAAAAAACTATATTCATTCATTTACTTTTCAATACAGTAGTACCCCAAGTTTTGAACTTAATCCATTCCAGGAGCTACAGTGGATCCTCGGTTATCGGCCATAATCTGTTCCAGAAGCTCTGCCTAAAACCGAAATGGCCGAAAACCGAATTAATATTTCCCATAAGAATTATTGTAAATACGTACAATTAATCCGTTCCGGACAAAAATATTCACAAAAAAAATTTTTTTTAACAATTAAATCAGTATTGCATACCTTTATTGAAGACTAATGCTGGCTTCTGGAAGATAGGGAGGAGGAAGAAGGGAGGCGTTATTATTTGGAAGGGAAATCCCACTCCATACGGACTTAAGGTAGCAAAGCCCTCTCTGGGGTTACTTCCCTTCTTTCTTTGTCTTTTAATGCCACTAGGACCAGCTTGAGAGTCACTCCAACAACTGCATTCCCTGCCTTCCTGCTACACTCTGCCTTCCTGCTACACTCCCTGCCTTCCTGCTACACTCCCTGCCTTCCTGCTACACTCCCTGCCTTCCTGCTATGCTCCCTGCATGCCTGCTACACTCTCTGCATGCCTGCTACACTCCTTGCCTCTATGCCTGCCTGCCTTGAATTCTATCGTGTTTCTCACTTTCTTTACCAAAGGAACTTTACTAAGAACTTCCTTTGGGGCCATGGTGACTTATTTTGCAGTTGCACTTGATAAATAACCTCCAAAAACAACGGATTATAGCAAAATGTTTGGATGAATGAGCAGAAGCTTCCTCACTCGCCCAGAGACACAGCCAGACTGACGCGAGTGGCTGCCGGCGGGTGGGTGGACGCGTCCTATATGGCCGATAAGCAAAATAGCAGCTGAAAACCGGAAGCCAAAAAACCGGCCTATAACTGAGTTAGCTGATAACAGGAACAGCCAATAACCGGGGGTCCACTGTAGTTCTAAAGTCGAAACGTTCGAAAATCAAAGCAATATTTCCCATGAGAAATAATGTAAATGCAATTAATCCGTTCCAGAAACCCAAAAATATTCACAAAAAAATACATTTTATAGAGATTAATTATAGTTTTACATACACACAACAAACATACGTAGTTCAATTAGTAATAGATAAATAAACATTTAAATAAACATGTAAAATATCATTTTTACTTACCTTTATTGAAGATTGTTGATGGCATCTGGAAGATAGGGAGGAGTGAGGGAACACTTATTGCTTGAAAGGGGAATCCCCTTCCATAAAGACTTGAGGTAACGAGTCCTTATCTGGGGTTACTTCCCTTCTTTAAGATTTCCCTAAAATGGGACGTGGTTCTGTCACTGAACTTGTTGCAGAGATGGCTTGCTTCAGCTTGCTCAGGGTGATATTTTTCAGCAAATGCCTGCACCCTTGCACAAATCTCCTTAATCTCTGAAGAAGGCTCCGTCCACCACCACCATCATCCACCACCATCATTATCATCCACCACCATCATCATCATCCACCACCACCATCATCATCCACCACCACCATCATCATCCACCACCACCATCATCATCCACCACCACCATCATCATCCACCACCACCATCATCATCCACCACCACCATCATCATCCACCACCACCATCATCATCCACCACCACCATCATCATCCACCACCACCATCATCATCCACCACCACCACCATCATCCACCACCACCATCATCCACCACCATCATCATCATCCACCACCACCATCATCCACCAGTACCATCGACCATCATCCACCAGTACCATCCACCACCACCATCCACCAATACAGTGGACCCCCGCATACCGTCGGCATCACATAACGTTCAATCCTCATACCGCTCGCTTTTATCGCAAAAATTTTGCCTCGCATACCGCTCAAAAACCCGCTCACCGCTGTTCGTCCGAGACGCGTCCAATGTGCGCCCTTAGCCAGCCTCACATGTGCCGCCGGTGGCATTGTTTACCAGCCAGCCTCCGCGGTAACATCCAAGCATACAATCGGAACATTTCGTATTATTACAGTGTTTTTGGTGATTTTATCTGCAAAATAAGTGACCATGGGCCCCAAGAAAGCTTCTAGTGCCAACCCTACAGCAATAAGGGTGAGAATTACTATAGAGATGAAGAAAGAGATCATTGATAAGTATGAAAGTGGAGTGCGTGTCGCCGACCTGGCCAGGTTGTACAAGAAACCCAAATCAACCATCGCTACTATTGTGGGCAACAGGAAGGCAATCAAGGAAGCTGTTCTTGCCAAAGGTTTAACTGTGTTTTCAAAACAGAGATCGCAAGTGATGGAAGATGTTGAGAGACTCTTATTGGTGTGGATAAATGAAAAACAGCTAGCAGGAGATAGCGTCTCTCAAGCGATCATAAGCGAAAAGGCTAGGAAGTTGCATGAGGATTTAATTAAAAAAATGCCTGCAACTAGTGATGATGTGAGTGAATTTAAGGCCAGCAAAGGTTGGTTTGAGAGATTTGAGAAGCGTAGTGGCATACATAGTGTGATAAGGCATGGTGAGGCTGCCAGTTCGGACCACAAAGCAGCTGAAAAATATGTGCAGGAATTCAAGGAGTACATAGACAGTGAAGGACTGAAACCTGAACAAGTGTTTAATTGTGATGAAACAGGCCTGTTTTGGAAGAAAATGCCAAGCAGGACCTACATTACTCAGGAGGAAAAGGCACTCCCAGGACATAAGCCTATGAAAGACAGGCTTACTTTGTTGATGTGTTCCAATGCTACTGGTGATTGCAAAGTGAAGCCTTTATTAGTGTATCACTCTGAAACTCCCAGACCGTTCAGGCAAAAGAATGTCCTCAAGGAGAATTTGTGTGTGCTGTGGAGGGCAAACAGTAAGGCATGGGTCACTAGGGACTTTTTCTATGACTGGTTACACCATGCATTTGCCCCCAATGTGAAAGATTACCTAACTGAAAAGAAATTAGAACTTAAGTGCCTCCTGGTGTTAGACAATGCCCCTGGTCATCCTACAGACGTGGCAGAGCGACTTTATGGGGACATGAAATTCATTAAGGTGAAGTTTTTGCCTCCTGATACCACTCCTCTCCTGCAGCCCATGGACCAGCAGGTTATTGCAAACTTCAAAAAACTGTACACAAAAGCTCTGTTTGAAAGGTGCTTTGTAGTGACCTCAGAAACTCAACTGACAAAGAGAGTTTTGGAGAGAGCACTTTAATATCCTCAGTTGTGTAAACTTTATAGGTAAGGCTTGGGAGGGAGTGACTAAGAAGACCTTGAACTCTGCTTGGAAGAAACTGTGGCCAGAATGTGTAGACAAAAGGGATTTTGAAGGGTTTGAGGCTAACCCTGAGAGGATTATGCCAGTTGAGGAATCCATTGTGGCATTGGGAAAGTCCTTGGGGTTGGAGGTTAGTGGGGATGATGTGGAAGAGTTGGTGGAGGAGGACAATGAAGAACTAACCACTGATGAGCTGATAGATCAACTTCAGCAGCAAGAGGCCAGACCTGAGGAAACTGATTCGAAGGAGGGGAGAGAGAAATTGAAGAAATTGCCTACTACAAAGATTAAGGAAATCTGTGCAAAGTGGCTTGAAGTGCAAACCTTCATGGATGAAAATCACCCTCACACAGCTATTGCAAGCCGTGCTGGTGATTATTACACTGACAATGTTGTGAAACACTTTAGGGAAGTCATAAAGGAACGAGAGGTACAGGCCACTATGGACAGATATGTTGTGCGAAAGAAGTCCAGTGACTCTGAAGCTGGTCCTAGTGGCATTAAAAGAAGAAGGGAAGTAACCCCAGAAAAGGACTCGACACCTCAAGTCTTAATGGAAGGGATTCCCCCTTTTAAACACTAACACTCTCTCTTCCCTCCTCCCATCCCATCAATCATCACCAGATCTTCAATAAAAGTAAGTGTCATGTAATTGTGCATGCCTTTTTCAGTTTGTGTGTATTAAAATTAACATTTCATGTGGTAAATTTTTTTTTTTTTATACTTTTGGGTGTCTTGCACGGATTAATTTGATTTCCATTATTTCTTATGGGGAAAATTCATTCGCATACCGATCATTTCGCATAACAATGAGCCCTCTTGCACGGATTAAAGTCGCTATGCGGGGGTCCACTGTATCATCCATCACCACTACCACCATCCACCAGTACCATCCACCATCACCACCATGGTAGCTTATTTCACAGTCACACATAATAAAGAAGCACCAAACACAGTGAATTAATTGTGAAATGTTTAAATGAGCACACAAGTTAGTGTTCACTCAAGCATAAACAAAGCCAGACTGGCTCACGATGCCTGCACGGGGGACTCAGGCAGGCAGACAGGTCTGGTTCGAAACATGGGGCATGTTTGATACTCAGGACAAAATTGGTGCAAAAAAAGTGGTCGAAACTCGAAGCATTCGATAGTTGATGCATTCGAAACACGGGGTTCCACTGTACTGGTATTTAGTTACAGTAATTATTTGTTTTTTTTAATCAGTAACAATTTATCCATCATATTAATATGAGTGGAGACAGATGGTCTTTGGGACCCGACAAGCTGTTGGAGTGTGAGCAGGGTAATAATTTGTTAAGGGATTCAGAAAAATCTGTTAACCGAACTTGAGTCCTGGAGGTGATAAATACAATGCCTGCACTTTAAAAGAGGGGTTTGGGATATTTGCTGTTTAGAATGATGTCTAAACTGTTGTATCTGTGCACCTTTGCAAAGACAGTAATAGTGTGAATGATTGTGAAAATGTTTCTTTTTTTGGGTCGCCCGGCCTTGGTGGGAGACGGCCAGTGTGTTAAAAAAAATTCATATTTGACTTACGATATTTTCAACTTAGTGGGTTCATCGGAACGTAACCCCTTTGTAGGTCGAGGAGCACCTATAGAGAAGTTAGTAGTTAGGACATTCAGCAGGCATTTGTGAGCATGTAGACTGAAATGAAGAGTTTCTGGGATCAGACATAGTGTTAGGGTGATCGAGGTAATGTCTGTAAAGGGACTCGAGAATACTGGCTAACTGGACTCGAATGTTCAAAGCTGAGAAATACAGAATTACGCTAAAATTTGAGTGACAAAGTTGCTGTCCAGTGGGTCAACATAGGACTGCGATATGTCGTTATGATGAGAAACGTTTTCATGTTTGAATCTAGCTGTAAGTGGGAAATAGTTGTAAAGTTAAAAAAAAATTGGAGAACCTTAAAAAATTGTTTTTGTAGATCAGCTAAAGGAATGTGTTATTAAGACTTGTTAGTATAATATGTGGCAGTAAACCTAAAGCTATGCAGATAACTATCTTACAAACTTTATATTCTGTATCACATAAGGATCATGTATGGTCATGTATATTCTGTATTGCATAAGGATCGTGTATGGTCATGTATATTCTGTCTCGCATAAGGATCATGTATGGACGTGTATATTCTGTATCACGTAAGGATCATGTATGGACAGTGTTAACACTGGAAGTATAATACTCTAGTATTTTTATTTTAATCAACTGTATCCAAAATAAAATGCCTTTCCACTTTTTAATACTCTGTTTCACAAGGTATTGAAACATTTGTCTTAAATTTCAAGAATTGCTTTTAAAAGGTAAAATTATGATATTATAAATAAAACTTTGTGAAATGTCTAACTTGTTATTTATTGATTGTAATAGGTCTGTTGTAGATGACAAAAAGCGTCGGCTACGTGCATTCTTGAGCTGCATGAGATCAGACTCCCCACTCATGTTGCACACGTCCCATGTTCCACAGCATCTGCTTATAATGGCAACAGTCCTTAGGTAAGACTTTTCTTTGTGTTCATATGTATGTGTGTATTCTAGTAGTAATGGTTACTAGAACCAGGGAATGTGTATGAAAGATAACTGAGATTAGTGAGAGAATTGAGTGTGTAGAACAAATGAGTAGCATGAAGGGCCTAATAAGAGTATATAATAAGATTGTTTCAAGGATAGACATGCATTCTGTCGCAAAGAAAGAGATACAGCTGTACAATAGGGACCCGCTTTACGGCGTTTCACTTTACAGTGTTCCGCTAATATGGACATTTCAAATTATGACCAAAACTTGCTATATGGCTCCCCCACCTGACTTTAAACCTTTGAGTGTTTCAGCCGTATACGTACATATGTCTTACGAGCCAGTGTTTTGGATGTGTATATATACGTATATATATATGTGTGAACAGTGTTTAGATAAAGGTAGGGAAGTTTTTATTGCATTTATGGATTTAGAAAAGGCATGTGATAGAGTGGATAGGGGAGCAATGTGGCATATGTTGGAACTATATGGAATAGGTGGTGAGTTACTAAATGCTATAAAGAATTTTTATGAGGATAGTGAGGCTCAGGTTAGGGTGTGTAGAAGAGAGGGAGACTACTTCCCGGTAAAAGTAGGTCTTAGACAGGTATGTGTAATGTCACCATGGTGGTTTAATATATTTATAGATGGGGTTGTAAAAGAAGTAATCCTACCAGGAGAGTGGTAGGATTAAATTATGGGGAATCAAATACAAAATGGGAATTGACACAGTTACTTTTTGCTGAGGATACTGTGCTTATGGGATATTCTAAAGAAAAATTGCAAAGGTTAGTGAACAAGTTTGGAAGTGTGTGTAAAGGTAGAAAGTTGAAAGTGAACATAGAAAAGAGCAAGATGATGAGGGTATCAAATGATTTAGATAAAGAAAAATTGGATATCAAATTGGGGAGGAGGAGTATGGAAGAAGTGAATGTTTTCAGATATTTGGGAGTTGTCAGCGGATGCACTTATGAAGGATGAGGTTAATCATAGAATTGATGAAGGAAAAAAGGCGAGTGGTGCGTTGAGGTGTAATTTTTTTTTTTTTTTCAACAAGTCGGCCATCTCCCACCGAGGCAAAGAAGGGAATGTATGAAAGTATAGTAGTACCAACACTTATATGGGTGTGAAGCTTGGGTTGTAGATGCTGCAGCGAGGAGGCGGTTGAAGGCAGTGATGTCCTGTCTAAGGGCAGTGTGTGTTATGTAAATATTATGCAGAAAATTCGGAGTTTGGAAATTAGGAGAAGGTGTGGAGTTAATAAAAGTATTAGTCAGAGGGTTGAAGAGGGGTTGTTCAGGTGGCTTGGTCATTTAGAGAGAATGGATCAAAGTAGAATGACTTGGAGAGCGTATAAATCTGTATGAGAAGGAAGGCAGGGGTAGGAGTCGTCCTCGAAAAGGTTGGAGGGAGGGGGTAAAGGAGGTTTTTTGGGTGAGGGGCTTGGACTTTCAGCAAGCGTACATGGGCGTGTTAGATAGGAGTGAATGGAGACAAATGGTATTTGGGACCTGACGAACTGTTGGAGTGTGATCAGGGTAATATTTAATGAAGGGATTCAGGGAAACTGGTTATTTTTCTATAGCTGGACTTCAGTTCTGGAAATGGGAAGTACAATGCCTGCACTTGCCACAGGACGCGGCTACTTGTACATTCGTGACTCAGTCTGCCTTTGTTACTCGACATTTGTGCAACGTGGAGTGGTGCAAAGTTTTGTGGAGAAATATCACCCTATCAAATCTGTTGCAAGCCGTGTCCCATTTTAGGCAAATCTTAAAGAGATGCCAGAAACAGGCCTCTCTGGACAGATTTTTTGTGCGACAGGGGTCCAGTGACTCAAGCTGGTCCTAGTGCCAGTAAAAGACAAAGAAGGGAAGTAACCCCGGATAGGGTTTTGATACCTGAAGTCCTTATGTTGGGGGATTCCAATGCCAAACAATAACCTCTCCTCCCTCTCCCCTCCTCGATGTCTTCCATATGCCAACGAGTCTTCAGTAAAGGTAAAAGTGATGTTAAATGTTCATTTATGCATTTCATTAGTGCTTTGTATTTATTTCTCATTGTTTTCTGTATATAAAACTAGTTATTCTCTCTAAAATTTATTTTCTGTTAATATTTTTGGGTGTCTGGAATGGATTAATGGGATTTACATTATTTCTTATGGGAAATATTACTTCAGTTTTCATACAAATCAGTTTTCGGCCGACCTTCTGGAACGGATTAAAGACAAAAACTTGGGTTCCACTGTATGTCGGCTTAATGTTTCACCCATAATTGGGTTTTATTAGTACATAATACAATGAGGCAAATTACACCTTGTATAGGGCACCAGAGGCATATGGTCAGGTGTAAAACTGGGTAGTGGATTACTCAACTTTACACTTGACTGTCTGCCCTAGATATCTAGCCATATAATTTTTTTCATTCTTGCTATGTACTGATAAAACCCACACGTGGGTGAAACTTTGTAGCAATAAATAATTCACGGCATTAAGTGTCTATTTACCACGTGTCAGCATTATGCCTTACTTAGTATACAAAGGTAGGGTATTTATTGAAGGGGGGGTCAGGCTTATTTTCTAATTGGTATTGTTCTACTACAAATTATTTCAGATATATTATGAGCACTTCTAATGGTCCAATACTGAGAAAGCAAGAATTGGATGCCTTTCTAGTGACGGCTTTCTCCCCAGATCTCACAAATGCACATTATTTGCAAGACTTGCAGGTTTGTGATAAATTTTTTCTGCTTTCTGTATACATACAGTATATTTTTTTTTTTTTTTTTTTTTTTTACAGGCTGTCTCCCACCAAGGTAGGGTGTTCAGTATTTCATGCATAATCATCATTAACCTTTAAAATATACAGAAGCTGGAGCCTTAACAGTCTTGCTGTAAAGAGCATTTTGAATATTTTTTTTTTTTTTATATTTTTCCCACAGGCTGTGGCTAACCTAAATTTAGGGGCCCTGAGGCTTGAACTGTTATGGGGGGCCTCTTGCAACCCTTTCTCATACAGTAGTCCCAGAATTTTTAAGCAGTGTGGGCTAAAGTTGCTACTGGGGCCCCTCTGGGATTAGGGGCCCTGAATCTTAAACGTTATTAGTACCAGAGTAGATCTGCCCCTTCCCACAGGATTGTAGAGCATAAAAAATGGATACTGGTACATAACTGGAAAGAGAACTCTAAAATAATGCAAAGGCACCATTTTATGACATGTTGAAGGTTGACATATGTAGTCAAAATGGCAACTCTGTGGCAATGCTGTACATATTACTACATTGTTTTTTTTTAAACCGTTCTTTCTCAGATTTGTTAGTTTTTTTTTTTTTTCCATTGAATTTACAAATTTACAGGTCTCCTTGCCATGGTATGTCACTTGGTACTCGAGTCTCGCATACTGACTGTTATAGTTTTGCAGTACTGCCTCCCATTATTCACTCATGGGCCAGGATTTTTGTTGTAGGTGGAACAACATTGCAGACAATTCCAGAAGGTGCTTCTGAAATTTTGTATCAGGAAATTTGAATGCACTAGGATTTTTTTATACATTGTATGTACATTGCACCCATTCACCTAAGACAGGTACACAGGTCTCCCTCAACATTCGCGAGGGTTAGGGGATCAAGAGCCTCGCGAATGTTGAAAAACCGTGAATGTTTGGTGCCCCAATATATTGTATACTGCTTCCTTAACTTGTTGAACCATGAACAATCATAAAATACATGAAAACGTCGTAAATTGTACTTAATATATACATGTTATGCTTTAATAACATGTATGTTATTAAATACCACAGACTCCACCAATGCCTCCACCACTTCCCCAACCACTGCGAGTCCCTACTACCCTCCCTCCGATCCCCGCAACTGGCAGCCAGCCCTCCCACCACTCAGTGTGGTGAGTGTTTTGTTTGTTCATTATTTGCTATTAAACTACAGTATAAATAATGTTAAACCCATTCATGACTGCATATTGAATGGCTATTCGGACAGGTATTGGATGGTGACATCATGTGTTATGTCTTGAACACAGCAAAGAATCAAACATTTCTGCTACTGCTAATAATAACAATAGTATAATAATAATTCAAGGTAGTAGGTTGGTAGACAGCAACCGCCCAGGGAGGTACTACCGTCCTGCCAAGTGAGTGTAAAACGAAAGCCTGTAAATTGTTTTACATGATGTAGGATTGCTGGTGTCCTTTTTTTTCTGTCTCATGAACATGCAAGATTTCAGGTACGCTTGCTACTTCACTTACCTTAGGTCACACTACACATACAGTATCAAGCACATATACACACCCCTCGGGTTTTTCTTTCTATTTCTTTCTATTCTTATTTCTTGTTATTTCTCTATCCATGGGAAGTGGAACAGAATTCCTTCCTCCTTAAGCCATGGCTGTGTAAGAGGCAACTAAAATGCCGGGAGCAAGGCCAGTAACCTCTTCTTTCCTGTATAAATTACAAATGTAAAATGAACTTTTCCGTTTTTCCTTGTTGGGCCACCCCGCTCGTGGTATAAGGCCGGAAGTTTAAAGAAGAAGAAATACATAATAATAATAATAATAATAAAGCCTAGGGAAAGTATGGATTTGTCAGTTTAAAACAAGTAGGGAGTTAGTAATGGAAGGAGGTATAGGTAGAATGGGAATAATTTGAGGAACTTTTAATGTTAAGGAAGAAAGGAGGCAGTAATTCATGTCCTGCCAGGAGGTAAACCATCTTTTAGGAGTGAAGAAGAGCAGAATGTAGTGTGGTGGAGGTACGTGAGGCATTACGTAGAATGAAGGGGTAAAGCAGCTGGAACTGATGGATCATACAGAAATGTAAAAGCAGGGGATAAGTGATGAGTTGGTACTTTTGTTTAATAAATTTTAAATAGGGAAGTACTCTAGTATTTGGCGTGAGCATGAAAGGGGCCTTTATATAAAGGAAAGGACAAAGAGATTGTAAAATTATGAGGAATAAAGTACAGAGTATAACCCATGACAAGTATACGTAGGTTATAATTGAAAGAATTAGAGGTACGGAATGTAGAATGCGGACGAGCAAGGAGGTATCAGAGTGGTAGGATGTGAAATCAAGTGTAATACATTAAGCATATATGTTGAACAGTATTAAGATAAAGGTAGGGAAGTTTTATTGGCATTTATGATTTAGAAAAGGCATAGATAGGAGATGGAGAGGACATTGTGGCAGATTGCAAGTATAGGAAATAGGGAGGTAATTTCAAATGCTGGTAAAGAGCTTTTATGAGGAAGTGAGGCTCAGGTAGGGTGTAGAGGAGGGAGATACTCCGGTAAACGTAGGTTAAAGGGGATGTGTAAAGTCACATGGATTGTTTAATATATTTATAGATGGGGTTGTAAAAAGAAGTAAATGCAGGTGTTCGGAGGGGGTGGATTAAATTATGGGGAATCAAATTCAAAATGGGAATGACACATTACTTTTTGCTGGATGCTACTGTCTTATGGGAGATTCTAAAGGAAAAATGGCAAAGGATAGTGGAATGATTTGAGAATGTTTGGTAAAGGAGAAAGTTGAAGTGAATAGAAAAGAGTAAGGATAAAGGATCAAATGATTAGAAAAGAAAAATGGATTTCAAAGGGAGGAGGAGTATGGAGAAGTGAATGTTTTTTAGATACTGGGAGTGATTGTCGACGGATGGAATTATGAAGGTGAGTTAATCATAGAATTAGAAAGGGAAAAAAGGTGAGTGGAGCGTTGAGGTATATGTGGAGTAAAAAAACGTTATCTATGGAGGCAAAGAAGGGAATGTATGAAAGTATCGTAGTACCAACACTCTTATATGGATGTGAAGCTTGGGTGGTAAATGCAGCAGCGAGGAGACGGTTGGAGGCAGTGGAGATGTCCTGTCTAAGGGCAATGTGTGGTGTAAATATTATGCAGAAAATTCGGAGTGTGGAAATTAGGAGAAGGTGTGGAGTTAATAAAAGCATTAGTCAGAGGGCAGAAGAGGGGTTTGTTGAGGTGGTTTGGTCATTTAGAGAGAATGGATCAAAGTAGAATGACATGGAAAGCATATAAATCTATAGGGGAAGGAAAGAGGGGTAGGGGTCATCCTCGAAAGGGTTGGAAAGAGGGGGTAAAGGAGTTTTTGTGGGTGAGGGGCTTGGACTTCCAGCAAGCGTGCATGAGCGTGTTAGATAGGAGTGAATGGAGACGAATGATACTTGGGACCTGACGATCTGTTGGAGTGTGAGCAGGGTAATATTTAGTGAAGGGATTCAGGGAAACCGGTTATTTTCATATAGTCGGACTTGAGTCCTGGAAATGGGAAGTACAATGCCTGCACTTTAAAGGAGGGGTTTGGGATGTTGGCAGTTTGGAGGGATATGTTGTGTATCTCTATACGTATATGCTTCTAAACTGTTATATTCTGAGCACCTCTGCAAAAGCAGTGATAATGTGTGAGTGTGGTGAAAGTGTTGAATGATGATGAAAGTATTTTCTTTTTGGGGATTTTCTTTCTTTTTTTTGGGTCACCCTGCCTCGGTGGGAGACGACCGACTTGTTGAAAAAAAAAAAATAATAATAATATAATAATAATAATAATACGATATAATTGAAGAAGGAAATTGTACAAAAATACGAGGGAGTGGTTGACACATCGTCAGTGTGGCTTTGTTTATGCTGGAGTGAGCATTAGTCTCCCTGCTCTTCCAAACATTTCACAATAATTCAGCGGTTGAGGCAGTGGTATTTAATAACATATATGTTATAAATAATAATAGTACATATTAATAACATGTATTATTATTATTAATAACATGTATGTTATTAAATACCACTGCCTCAGTCGCTGCTTCAACAGTTGCCTCAATCGCTGCCTCAACAGCTGCCTCAATCGCTTCAACAGCTGCCTCACCCACTGCCTCAGTGACCACTGCCTCAATCGCTGCCTCAATTGCTGCCTCAATCGCTGCCTCAACAGCTGCCTCAATCGCTGCCTCAACAGCTGCCTCAACAGCTGCCTCAACCACTGCCTCTACCACTCCAGTCGCACTCAATCTACAAGTACCAAACACAATGAATTATTGTGAAATGTTTGGAAGAGCAGGGAGACTAATGCTCACTCCAGCATAAACAAAGCCACACTGACGATGTGTCAACCACTCCCTCGTATTTTTGTACAACTTCCTTCTTCAATTATATCGCATTTATTATTATTATTTTTTTTTTTTTTTTTTTTTTTTCAACAAGTCGGCCGTCTCCCACCGAGGCAGGGTGACCCAAAAAAGAAAGAAAATCCCCAAAAAGAAAATACTTTCATCATCATTCAACACTTTCACCACACTCGCACATTATCACTGTTTTTGTAGAGGTGCTCAGAATACAACAGTCTAGAAGCATACACATATAAAGATACACAACATATCCCTCCAAACTGCCAATATCCCAAACCCCTCCTTTAAAGTGCAGGCATTGTACTTCCCATTTCCAGGACTCAAGTCCGACTATATGAAAATAACCGGTTTCCCTGAATCCCTTCACTAAATATTACCCTGCTCACACTCCAACAGATCGTCAGGTCCCAAGTACCATTCGTCTCCATTCACTCCTATCTAACACGCTCACGCACGCTTGCTGGAAGTCCAAGCCCCTTACCCACAAAACCTCCTTTACCCCCTATTATTAGCAGTAGCAGAAATGTTTGATTCTTTGCTGTGTTCAAGAGTAAACACATGTCACCGTCTAATACCTGT